CCTCTCAGGGTTTGAGGATGATCCCTTGGCAGTGCTTCAAACCATGCGTCGCTACATTGGGACCTTCTTTGGTTGCCAGGAGTGTGGGAAGCATTTTGAGGAAATGGCTCAGGAGTCTCTGAACCAGGTCAAGTCTGTTGATGATGCAATTCTGTGGCTATGGAGAAAACACAACCAGGTTAATGCAAGACTGACAGGTAAGACAAAAAAAGTATTGCACAAATGTACATTAAGGTATAAGTGAGTGACAAAATATGTACATTAGCAAGGTTTGGGGTCAGTAAGTCTTTTTTTTTTTTTCTTCAGCAAAGATGCATTAAATTGATCATTAACATTAAATACATTTAGAATGTTACAAAAGCTTGTCATTAGTTCTGTAACTGTTCTTTTAAACTTTCTATTCATTAAAGAAAAAATGTTCCTGAAAAAAATGTTTCACAGTTTCCACAAAAATATTAAACGGTGCAATCGTTTTCAACGTTAAAAACAATAAGAAATGTTTTTAGAGCAAATCGGCATATTAGAATGTTTTCTGCTGGATCATGTGATGCTAAAGACTAGAGTAATGACTACTGATAAATTCAGCTTTGCCATTAAAGGAATAAATTATTATGTCAAATACTGTTATTTTAAGTAGTAATAATATTTCAAAATATTCTTAGTTTTACTGTATTTTTGATCAATTAAATGCAGCCTTTATGAGCATAAGAGACTTGTTTCAAAAACAATAGAGAAATCTTACCAACCGCAAACGTTTTGACTGTAGTGTAGGAAGAAAGGGAAAACTGTGAGGATTAAAGAAAGGAGACAAGAAGGAATTATGGGGGAACAGACAGGTGGTAAGAAAGGAATCAAACAGACAGGACAGGAAGGAAGATAAAGAAAGAAAAAGTAATGGAAGAAAGAATGAAATTAGAACTGGAAGGAAAAAGAACTGGAAGAAAGGATGGGGCGGATTTGAAGGGAGAAAGTAAGAAGGATATGAAGCAAGAAAGGAGGGCAGACATGACGGATAGAATGCAAAGGTGATGGAAAGAAGGAAAAATTGTAACAAAGTAGGATGGAGAAGAAAAAATAAAAAACAATATTGGGATGTAGGAAGGAAAGGAAGTATGCAATTAGGACTGGAAGGAAAAAACACATGAAGGGAGAAAGCAAGAATGGCAGGAAAAGGCAAAAGGGGTTGGAAGGAACAAAGGGGAAAGAGAAAAGAAAGAAAGAACGAACGAACGAAAGAAAGACTTCATTAAGGTGCCATTCATTAAAGGCAAAAGGGGTAGGAAGGAACAAAGGGGAAGGAAGGAAAAGAACAAAAGAAAAGGAAGGAAGGAAGGAAAAGGGACCGGAAGGAGGAAAGAAACAAAGAACGAACGAATGACTTTATTAATGTGCCAGAAGAAATTCAAGAACTACAATGATATTTTCATGTCCAAACTGTAAAATGTAAAGTTCTCATAAACATGCTAACAGACGTTACCCTCATAGCTGATTGCACTCGTTATGCAGGTTCAATGAGCCAGGACCCCATGTTTCCTAAGACTCAATGGCCAACTCCTGATCTCTGTCCCACATGCCATGAGGAGCAAGAAGGCCTTCATGTCTGGAACGAACAGATGGTACTCGCTTTCCTTAGACAACACTATGGTGCCTCAAACATCTCCCCAAAATACTCCAGCAACAGCCAACCAGGCCCTCCTGCTCCCGACAAACCCAAAGCCATAAGCAAACCTAACAGCAACCTTCACCTCAACCAGAACCTAAAGCCATCTCCTGACAGCGCTCCTAAACATCAGAAGAGGAGTGACACCAATGGTGCAGGACAGAAGCACACCGGCATCCAGATAGAAGCCAGGCCAGGGATGACGATCCTGGGCCTGGGATTCTCCAGAGTGGACATGAGTCTCTGTGTGTTCCTCTATGCTTTCTCCTGCGTCTTCCTCATGTTCATGTTTTTCTTCTTCCGCTTTCGCTCAAAGAGATGGAAACCCAGAAACTACCGGCCTTACGTATAGCAGCGGAATACTGCGATGGAAAACTGTGGATAAGGTGAATGTAATATATGAAACCCCTGCCAGGTGTTGAAGGAGACTTTTAATTTATTTAATTACTTTTATTTGTTTTGATCTTGTTTTTGTGAACTGTTTTGTAATGAAGAACTTGTCTAATGACTGATGAAAGTTTAACTCGTGTATCAGGCCTAGCTGTGTGAACAAGCACCTGTTAGTGAGGATTTCTCAACCCTAAACAAACAGAGAGGATGATTTAACAGGAGAAGCTATTTTACTATAGTAAAAGTAACAACCTAAGTCAGAGTATATTTTTATGAATATTCTACATTATTTATAGAGATTTTTATTGAAATAATATACTCTAAGTTTCTCACAGGGTATATATCGCTCTCTATGAAAGTCACTCTGTCCCCATATTTCTGTTTGATGGTCCAAAAAACACTTGGGAATATGATTTATTCTGTCACTTAAGGTCAAGTGAAGCCAGTGACACAAAACACTGCCTGTCAATGACCAGATGTGGAAAAACTCTCGGTTTTGCCTGCATGTGAAGTCACAAAAAGCGCTACAGTTAATTTTAAGCTTAATTTCTGTCTTTTTTATTATTTTTACCTTTTAAATCTTGTCAAAATGCTTCATAATTGGTTTTATTGATGCACCTCAGCAGTAAGGGATTTATAATGACTACAATAATCTCTTCCAAAAAATAAAAATGTGTGAAATGTTCAGACTTTTTGGTACTCAGTTATACGGAGCACATTTAGTGAGTAAACCTTTATTGATAATCTCTTTTTTTCTGTAGATTACAGAGACTCTTTTGAACTGGAACATATTTCAATAATTATTTTATACTTTTAACTTTTTTTTTTTGTCCATGTCACTGTAAAAAACAAATGCATTCTGTTGTAGAGCTCATAGAAGACACCATATATGTTGAACCTTAAGGGAAACCATTATTACAGTGTACTCCAAGGATTCCTGATCACAGACCGTTTATTGTTTAACATCTATATTACTACAGCAGTATTTTGATTCAAAGTTTAGAATTCAAATGTGTTGATATCGTAAAACTTTAAATATCATTATCAGCATTTGGTTTGTGGAATGATTTGTAATGTGTTCAGCTTGTGATTATTTATTTCACTATCTAATGGAGCAGTGTTAATGTGGACCTGAGGCTAAATATTTATAAAGCATTCTTAATAAAATACGGCTTCTGTGTTGTGACAGTATGTGCCCATAATGGTGGCCTTCTAAGCTGCTCCAAATGAACGGCTGTAAATTGCATTGCGTTTAATTATTAATGTTTCCAGTGCTTTAAGAATTATATTTTTATCTAAAGACTATTTTTGGGTGTGGTTGTTCTGTATATATGTAGTTTGTCCTTTCAGGGGAGTTGTTGTATTTTGTATGAAGAACACTGTAAATTATCTTTCAAATAAAAATATGTATTTCCCATCATTTTCTAGTTCGTATCTACCAACAATACAGATACATACACGCATTTGAGTTTTATATAGCACCACTATAATATACTGTTACTTGTGGTATAATGTAAATGTTTCATTTTGAGATTGGTTTTCTGAAGAGTGGTTCTTAAACGATCATTTATGAGGAGAACAGGCGGATGTACCATGCTGAGAACAAGGTGTAACTGCAACTTCAAGTCTAAGCACAACGGGAGGTCATTTAAGTTTTCTATTGCTGTAAGTCTGTGTCTGCCCTCTAGTAGGCAGTATGGAGTATCCCTTTCCCCACCAGCTCAGACTGCAGTCTGTTCTCCCCAGGGACATCATACATGTGACCATACTAACACTGTCTATTACTAGAGCTCCAGCTGTCAACTTTACAGATGTCTGCACAGGCACTTGTGTTTCCGAATGTAAAATAACTTACTATGTTCATCTCTTCACACCGGCAGAGGACATTTTCCTCAATGATGGTGTGCATATCGCACTGGAAACAAAGTTTAAGGGAACTTTCTTCAAGAGACAGCTTAATGTGTCAAGTTTTGCTTTTTTCCTCCGGCCTGACACAGTTTCACAGCTTTTAAAGAGACCAGACAGACAGCTGGAATCAAGTTTTGCAGCATTCGCAGGGTGTGTGTCTGCTGTGCCTTATTGATTTATTATAATTTTTTTGCTGTTGATATTAGGCAGAAGACTGGAACATGGCAGTTCATCTCTAATAGCGCTGACTCACGCCATAGCCCGTCAGCGTCTCAGCATTAAAAGGCAGCGAGTCAGAGATAGAAGCATAGCGCCTTCTTCCCCACTTTGCTGAGAGACGCTGCTTTACTGCCCCACTGCTCTGTACTCAACTCTTACTTGCACACTACAGTCTTTCAGCCATCCGTCTAATACGTGCCGCCTTAAAATGCTTCTCGGTTTGATGTACTGATCTGATATTCAGGGCAGCTTTGAGGCTGAGTCTCTCTCTTTTCTTTCTCTTATCATTTGAGTATCTGTCTGATGCCGTGTTGGCACATCTGATTGGGTATGCAGACTCTGTACTGAGCATGCCAGCCTGTGACAGGGACTGCAATGCAGAGCTGCTCTGGCACACACCATTTGTCTGCCCTTAATGTAAATAATCCTGAGCATGCAGCCGATCATGGCAGAGACTGCTTCTGATGGATTATGTGTCTACACGCGTTCGGGTTGGTGCATGCGGGGTGCACGCTCCTGTTCTTGTCTTTTCTTCGTGTGTTGACGCTCAAATAAAAGTGAGCCATTGCTCTCTCTCTCTCTCTTTCTGTCTTGCCTGTCTTTTGTCTCCATCGCACATGAACACGTTTACTCTCTGCAGGGCAGTTATCCGCATCAGTCTCTCTCTCTTTCTCTGTCTCTCTCACTCGATCTCTCTCTCTCGCTCTCTCTCTCTGTGTCCTTAAATGACTTTCCTTCAGTCTCACTCCCTCCCCCTCTCTTTCTAGTCTCTGTGTCTGTGCCTATAGCCTCTCTCCCCCTTTCTGTGACATACAGTAGATGGTGCATCGATTGCACACAGACGCTTGCTTTCCCTCTCGCTGGCTCAGTCCTGTGCGGGGAGGAAGAGGACGGATTGAGACGTATCTCTGATTCTCAAGGTTCCTTTCCTCATGCTGAGCTGCTGTGAGGAGCCTGGCCGCATTCTCTCTCTCTCTCATCTCGGAAGATTCTGCTATAGAGGTCAGGTAGTGGCGGGGTGGAGAGGGAGGGTGGGTGTATGTGTTTGTCGGTCACTTTTCAGCTTCTTTTGAATACTCCAGGCAAGCTTATGCTGAGTTGCCAAACATGCAGACTCTTGTAATGTTGGGGTGAAGAGAGCTGTTTACCAAGGGAGTTGCTGTGCAGCATTTCTGTCGCATTTTTCTGCTGTGTCTGCACCAGATAAACATTGTGTGACTTTTGAATCTAGTCATTTTCTGTTTGTTACCTCATCAAGCTGGTCCACCTTCATTTTGACTTTCTGCTGTCTTAGATGTCTGGTGAGAACATCCTGTCTTCTCCAGAGATCTGAAACGGGCATTATGTCTCACCTCTTGCACATGGAGATTCCAAACTTCGGCAGCACTGTTCTGGACAGCCTTAACGAACAGCGGCTGCTGGGCCAGCACTGCGATGTGGCCATCATGGTCAACGGACAGGCCTTCAAGGCCCACCGCGCCGTTTTGGCGGCCAGCAGTCTCTACTTCCGTGACCTGTTCAGCGGTAGTGCCCAGACGCTCTTTGAGCTGCCCTCGTCCGTGGCCCCATCCTGCTTCCAGCAGATTCTGTCGTTCTGCTACACGGGCCGGATGACGGTGAGTGCCAGAGATCAGCTGATGGTCATGTACACCGCAGGCTACCTTCAGATCCAGAACATCGTAGAGCGAGGAATGGACCTCATGTTCAAGGCCAGCGCTCCATACTGCGACTCGCAGACATCTGCCACCGATGATCCCCCGAGCCCAAACAACAACAACTCCTCCCTGTTGCTAGGCAACCAGCCCACAACTGTCTGCAAGATCAAGGAAGAGAAGCTGGAGACCCCGGTGTGTGCTCAGAACGGGGAGCTAAAGCACTCCGAGGAGGACAGGGGACCTAGGGTCAGATCTTCAAGGAATGGCACTCTTTTCTACACAAGTGGAGGCACAAATGGGGTCATACCTGTGATGCATGCTTACGAGCACTCCACCCGAGATCATGCCAGTCCCGGTTCCTCTAGCCTGCCGACCACAGACAGCCCAACTTCACACCAAAATGAGGAGGAGGACTTTGAAGACGACTCGTACGAGAGTCTGACAAATGGGAAGATCTTTGGGGGCTCGTCCGGGATCTATGGCAGTAAATGTCTTTTAATGGACTTCTCTTTTGCTCCATTGCAGCTCAAAACACTACGGATTTATCCCTGTGAGTGTGATCTGTTGTGTGTCTTCCCAGTGCAAGAGAAGATGTCCTCCCTACCTCTGTCCTTGGAGAACCGTTTCTGTGTGCTGTTAGGAGGAGACAGAGAGGCTCTGCCTGCCGGACTCATCAGCCAGATCGGCTACCGTTGCCACCCTGCTCTCTACACAGAGGGCGACCCTGGAGAGAGACTGGAGCTGATTGCAGGTGAGGCCTGAATAATAGCAGCCTGTCTAAAACTCCATGTCCATTTGAATTATTTATCAGTTCAGACCGAGTCATTTGAGTCACTGATTCAGAGCTAAGGTCTCCTTGTTTCTCTGTTGTTGGTGCTGTGGAAGGATCTGGTGTCTTCATGACTCGTGGGCAGCTGATGAACTGTCACCTCTGTGCTGGGGTCAAACACAAAGTCTTGCTGAGACGTCTTCTAGCTGCTTTTTTTGACAGGTCTAAAACATTACAGATGTGTAACAAGTGTAATGTGTATCTGTAGAATGTCTGAAATACCAAGAGCTCAGTTCTGCAGTAAAAATAGCCAAACAGAGTTGGAATGAATCTTCTCACATTCAAATGTTTAGTATATTTCTTGATAACTATAAGGACTGCATGGTGTTTTGGAAAAATATTGTGTGTGTGCCCTCCAGTGGTTGATTATGGTATTTTGACTGCAGGAACACACTGGCTGACAGCTGTGGAACTGGAATACGTTCCTCCAACTGTGATCCAAATCGCAAACCACTGGACAGTCGCATACTCAACACAGTCAAACGTGAGTGACCCTTTGCTATGCTGTTACAGTAAGCAAAACGGACTCTATTTAATATATGTTTCTGGTTTTATTGTGCATGATTCCTTGGTTTGCTTTTTTTAAAGTCTTCAAAATCTTTCATCAGTTTCCTTGCCTCCAATTTCCACTTTTCGTGATCCAATCAGTTTCACCTTACCAACATTTAATCCTTTTTCATTCGGAAATACGTTACAGTGTAGAAGTAAAATAGGTTCAATGTTGACTTGAAGCATTGATATTCCTTTTTTCTCTCTATGCTTTATCGTTAGTCTACTGTCAGAACTTTGCCCCTAACTTCAAAGAAAGCGAGATGAATGTGATTGCCGCAGACATGTGCACCAATGCCCGGAGAGTTCGCAAACGCTGGCTCCCCAAGATCAAGTCCATGCTTCCAGAGGCGATCGAGGTGTACAGGGGGACTGCGGTCCTGAGCCAGGTGGAAGGAGCTACCCAGCCAGGCGGTGGCTTTCCCTTTGAGTCAGAGTTCAAACACCTGGCAGCGTCAAATCTGACTCTGGAGCAGCATCTCTATGGAGACTGTAGAGAGACAATGAGGAATGGCTCTCATTTCAATATGGAAGAGAGGTCCCAAAAAGGTGAAGAAGCCAAGACTGAGCCAAGCCAAGCCAAAGAGCCAGACAACCTGCAGGAAGTTGAAAGGCTTCCGGAGAGTCCAGAGAGAGCGGCCAGTGTGCTCGCCCTCAACCCTGCCAGCAAGAAAGGGGAAAAAGAGCATGCAACCAGCAGCCCCAGATCACAGAGAGAGGAACAGAACAGACAGAGACCACTAAAAGATGATCAGTGACTTCCTCCACTTCATACTATTAAAAACTGGTCTGCAGCTTCTCACACCAAAAAGGATCATTATCAGTAAAGGCAATCTCTCATGCCACTGAACATTACATTAAAGCTGCATGATTATGGGAACTGGACATACAACATTTTTCCAGGATAGACTGAAAAACGTCTGCATTAAATACAGTTGTGATTACAAGTTTACCAACCATCATAACAACTGCACTTTAGTTTATTACTCACCTTATGAAGCTGTTTGAGAGATATTTACATTTATTCCACAAGACAAAATAATTAAATTTACACATCTGATTCTTTTTTTTAAAGGTTTACATACCCTTGGATTTTAATATCATATATTGCCTCCTCAAGCATCGATGACTGTTTGTAGGTCTTTTACGATAGTTGTGCATGAGTTTCTGTTTTGTCCTGAGCAGTTAAGCTGTTCTTGACCAAGCCTCCAGGTCCAGTAAGTTATTTGGTTTCCCAGCATGCTCTGAACAATTGAGGGACTCATGCAAAACTGTGATGCTTGAGGCAACTCACAATATTAAGAATCAAAGGTATGTAAACGACTCATTAGGATTTTTGTGTAGTTTTTTTTTCTTATGAAATTTACACAAATATCTGTTATGCAGCATCATCAGGGCAATACTAAATTACTAAAACAACATTTTCATGATCTTATTTTAAAAAAAATACTAACTGTCTTACTGATTCCCCAAGGGGTTTGTAAACATCTAAGCACGACTGTCTAAAAAATTGTAAGGACCTTTAAAGAAGCCACTTAGCATACGTAAATACCGGCACATATACAAGCCCAGTACATTAAGGCAAGCTGCAGTGCGTTTTTTATGAATGCATGTGATGCGTAAGCTCTGGCATTTCTGACTAAATACTCTTGCCAATTACAGAAACAAATGGATCATGGACTTCTGCATGGCAAAAACAAGTGAAGGACAAAGGCTCTTCTTAATATAACACGACTTACATGCTTCAGAAATCAACTATACTGCTTTGACTCCAGCAGGACAGTGGGGTTGCTATGTACAAAGCTGACTGTGAGACTGCTGAGTTCAGTACAGTAAGGGAAGCTGAACAGAGAACAACAGTTCTCTAGAGAGTAGCCTGGACTCTCAGTTTTCCCTCTCAAGCTTTTTAATCTTACTCTTGTTCTCAAGCTGCTGTATAGTAAATGCTTGCCTGTTTTTTTGCATATCAGCTGGTCTGGACATTTGAAACGTGATTGTATGATTGTTTTTTGGAAGCGAAATAAAGGAAAGGATTATTTTGAGGGATAATTAGGTTATGCCTATTATTGTTGGTTAAAAATGACTTTTGCTTGATTACAATGAAATTGACTTATTGAGGATGAAACATGAAAACGTTAGCATAGTTTTACTTTATTGCAGAAAATACAATACATGTGAAATGTCTCAATAAGGTCTAGATGAACAGAGATAGTTACAGAATTCATTATTGTTAATAGGATTATTATTTTCTTATCTAACATCTCATTTGCTTACCTGCATTATCAAATATTTCAAACTAAATTTTGTTAAAGTTATACAGACAGATTTTCTTCCTTAAATGCATTGATGAATCTCTGCATCTGTTCCCCCAACAGGCAGTTTTGTCTCCTTTACCCTGCAAAAGAACAACATTGTTCATTTTTCAGATATCATTGACTATGTTCTTTGAAATATTAAACAATTCTTTTTAAAACTACTAAGATGGAACAAATTCAGCAGCTGTCCAGAAAATAACCTATGTTTTGGGTGAGGTAAACAGCATATTGTGGCACGTGTGGTGATTTTGTGATGGTCTTTAGATAGCACATCCTGATCCTTTTCCAGATGCCTCCAGATGGTGCAGAAATCTCGAACAGCACAACATTTCTCACAATTTTTCAGTTGCTCATTTTCCAGTCGAAAGAGATTCCAAATAAAACGTCTGGTTGAACAGAAAGAAACGATTAAGGAAGTGAATTTACCAAATAATAATTATTCTGATCAATAGTCAAATAACCTCCAAAAATAAGTTTCCTACACCGAAAACAATTTTCTCTCAGAAATTGCTTGCGAATTTCATAATTAATTACAATGAAAAAGCAACAAACACATTGAATTAAATGTGACGCTTTGAAATAGAAAAACTGAAATAGTATTTTCTTGTTAAATATAGTCCAATAATCTTTTTTTACAACTTCAAAAAATATTTTTTACAGTGTAAAAACGGATTTCTTAAAGTACAATGTAATCCTGAATATTTCTCCCATGAGTCAGCAGCCACTTTAAAATTAAATTATAGCAAAATGTAATTGCACTGATCATCCCAGATTACAAGTTTACATACTTGCTGTCTTGCTGCTTAGAGCATGTGACTGAAATCTAACCTGAGGACTTCCAGTGGTGCCAGCAGGGCACTTGCTGTGGCAGCTGCAGTTGAATCCTTCATCTGAGCCAGGAGGATATTTATAGCCCAGGAGACCCGCAACAGCACATCTGCCAGCATGGCTGCATAGTAGTACCACTGAAAGAGCACATCTCTCAATATTAAAGATTATTCCAGAGCTGTTGCAGGTCAGTTTGACCCCTAGTGATTCATTTAATGCCAACTTTTCAGCCTGAAACTTCATGAGATGCCAATGTTAAATGCTTGCACTGTCACTGTCACCACACTACACTAAATCACAAACAACAAATTGTGACTTTTGAGCTGTGATTTGTCATGTATGGTCAATTTGACCGAATAATACCTATATGCTGTATCTGAAATGTTGACAGCACAGAAAGGTTTAGTACAGCAGTATCTCTTCTACCAAAGCTTTTCTAAACCAGATTGAGTGCTGATATTGCCTGCTACATGAATACATTTTAGCTTTTGAGAACAAATATCCAATTTCTGTACCATGTGGGTCACATAGACATTTATGGTTATGTGCATAGGAACAGTTCACCCAAAATGTGTAAAATATTAATTTTTCTTACCATCATAACTATCCATAACCTTAAAGGGGTCATATGATGCTTTTTTAAAGATCATTATTTTGTGTGGGATTGGGGATGTCAACAGGGTTGCCAGATCTGTGCAACAAAACCAGTCCATTTGCCAATCAAAACTAGCCTAAATAGCAAAACTCCAAATATGTCTTTATATGCCCCTAATATATTATAGCTTTCTGTGAAGATAAGACCAAAAGTTTGGGGTGATCATTCCTTATATATATAATATATATATTATATATCATGTTAATAAAGACAATCTCCAGATCAAAAAAACAAAACAAAAACTGTTAATAAAAACTATTAAAAGACAGTGTTACAGGTGTATACTAACTTTTACCTGTTGGGAGAACACCAGCTCGTCTTTTAGCAGGCCATTTCCCTGAAGTAATCCCCAGTCCATCCT